TTAGCAGTATACACATGAATTTGATCTTGATCTAACTCCCCAAAGAGCTCTCTGTGGTACAGTGGTAAAGCATTGGTACAGTGGAACCCCTCTAAACTGGACCCTCATTAAAACATAATCCTCTCTTTACCAGACCATTTTTTTAGTCCCAAAATCTGTCCCACATTTTCTCTTTTTTTAACCTCAGTAAACCAGAACCCCTCACTTCTGGAAACTGGACTCTTTTTTCAGTCTGTAATCACATACTGACAAAGAAATTGACCTTTTTCAAACCTGACGTGAAAGTTTTAGGCTTGTCGCCAAAATCAAATCACACATTTTTTAACATGATTAAAATTAAAATTGCAATCATGCAGCTGTGAAATCCCAATCAGAAGCGAGAAATGTGTATCGGCAAATTACTCATTGTTCTATTGGTACTGAAGCAAAAAATGCAAAGTTGACAATCTTGCCGCTGTTGTTGGGTTGAATGAATGACAAAAATAGGGGTCAGGTTAATTGTTTGTTCCTTTATTACTAATGTGCTTTATTGATGCTCGTGTATCATGTACTGGTAATTACAGTCAGACAATATATTATACAGCATAAAATTGCCTTATGGGTAAAACCTCAGTATACCGTACTCCCCTCTAAACTGGACATTTTTTCCGGTCCTAAGGGTGTCCAGTTAAAAGGGGTTGCACTGTACATGCAATTCTAAATTGTAGGGTTTGTAACCTCATGGGGAAATGAATCTTTTTTGATATCCCACACTTGTGGCAAGAAGAATGAATATTTCTTTGTTGAACTTCCCTTACCTAATAATTATTAATAATAGTTTTTATACTTGATTGAATGGGGGATCTCGTATTTCTTTGGATTTTTCCAAGCGTGGTTGGAAAGAGCTAAAGATTTGCTGATGGATTATGGCAGCACTCCATGCATGCACAATTTGCACAGAAAGCTGCCATCTTGAACACATTTTATGTGCACTTAGGTGCTGCTATTCCTGTGGCTGGTACTGTACATACCCTTTCCCTTTGTTCTTGCTCTCGTTCCTTTCTCCTTTTAATCTGGCGCATTAACATTGGATATGGCATTTTCTGACCCTTTGGTGCCTACAGATATTGTATACACTGATTTAAGTAAATCGGATAATCATACAGTTATTCCATGCAAAGGTTTTTTTTTTTAACAGCAGGCAAACCTCCAACTGAGTGCTTCTGAGTATACAATCAGGAATCTAATGTTCTCATAATTATTATGATCATTTGTTTAGTGGAACATGCTCAAGGATAGGAAACTGTGTTGAACATTTCCTTGTAATTGACCTTAATGGGGCCTGCCACTAATGGAAAGAGTTATGTTGTTAAATGAAAATCATTATAAAGATTTTTACACCTACTTTCCCACCAAGTGACTGAGCTTTCCAGTCTTCATAATTCCTTCTGTCTTTTCTACTAAGACCTGTCACACCTACAACAAACATTTTATGAAAGAGCACATTAACAAAGAAGAAAACCTGCCCCAATGAAGATAATAAAAAAAGTATTTTTGAGGCCAACACAGCTTTCCATACTTGTCCTTTTCTCTTGTTGACATGTTTTTGTTTTGTTTTTTTTTGGTTGACAATTTTCAAAAAAAATGAAATTTCTGTGATACATTTAGGTTGAAAATGGGCCTCTGAGTGTCCCATGAAAATACATAGTTGACACAATAAATTACCAATAAATCCCTAAGAGTGACTAACATCTAATTTCTCCCAACAATATCACCCCTGAATCACATATTAAGATCAGAAGAAGGAAATGATCACCAACTAAAGAAGCTCTTGACTGTTAAACAAATTCTCCTTGTCAGCACCAAAGGAAAATGTATAGAGAACAGTAAAGAGAATATGCATACCGATATTAGGGTGTAAAGGATTAACATATTAAGTTGTTTAACACCCAAATCCCAAATGGAGGTCAGGTGCTCAAGGGGCCTAAGGGCTGCAACTGCAGTTGCACTCAAGGCACTAGAACACCTGGCTGGCCATAAACAAGCGTAGGTAAACCACCTGAAACCATCTGAAACCCCCATGGAAACCATCTGAAATTACCTGAAAAAATCTCGCAACAATTTGGAAACAACATGAAAGCACCTAAAAAATTATGGGTAACATCAGAAAATAAGTGTTAACAATCGAGTTTATCCACAGGGAGCCCAGCTTACGGATATCGTTTATAATGCCCTACAGTACAGAATAGGCACCACAAACAGGTCTTCAAAGAAACATTCCATTGTTCTTGTTGAAAACACACTCAGTTAGCTCTTCTAATGGCTGGGAGTTGCACAGGAATATGCGAATTCATTTCTTGACAAAGCACTTGCGTGACAATAACAACATGTGATCGCGAATGCAAAGAAGAAACTCTTTTAAATCGAAAGAAATTCGTGAAGTTTTTTCAACGGGATCATGCAAATTATATATGAAAAAGCCCAGGAAGGCCTGAAGATTTTCATGTTGTTTTAAATTGTTTCGAGATATTTTCAGGTAATTTCAGATGGTTTCCTTGGGGGTTTCAGATGGTTTCAGGTGGTTTCATCTGTGGTTTCAGATGGTTTCAGATGGTTTCAGATGGTTTCAGGTGGTTTCAGATGGTTTCAAGTGGTTTCAGGTGGTTTCAGGTGGTTTCAGGTGATTCCAACTTTTAGTACCTACGCCTGGCTGGCCTGCTCAACCTGCAACCCAACCACAAGCCCCCCACACTGAGCTCCAACAAGCACCCATCACACTAGAGCCAAAAGGCTTGGTGGAAGAGAAAATAGGGAGACAAATAAATAAATAGATAAATAAATATGTGAACAAATAGAACCCACTAAAACCCCTTTACTAAATCAAAATGGGAAGGGAGGGAGGGAACATTAAGAAGCTATCCTCATGGATGACAATGCTATGCCAACGTACAGCCAACACAATGCAAGTACATGGGCAAATCAACACATGCACAGATAAAGGTAACTGCTGGACACAGCCCACCCCAAGCCAGCAACAGCTACAAAGTAGCTACAATGCTACAGAACACACACAAACGCCAGGCAAATGCTAACAGAGTGCTAATATGCTAACAGTACACCAGCAAAATGCAACAGACCAGATTTGCTCCTAGTCGTTAACTATGTTAAATTCCATCAATCAGTAACAATATTTTAAATAAATGCTAGTGGTAGGTACACTTAAGTACTAAACCAGCAAAGTGCAGCTTTGAAGTTGGACACAGTATTACTGAGATGCAAAATCCAATTATTTTCAATAAGTTGCAGAGTGAGGGAGTTTAGATTACAACCCTTTGATTTTAACTATTGGGCTGCTTCACTGAATGACCCTGCTTCAGCAACAAAGTCTGGAACACAATGGAGACACCTATAACCAAACATTTCCAAAGAAAGGACTCAGAAACAACTGGGGTAACTACAATTTTTTCTCAGTCTGAGAATAAAAAAATTCATGAAAATACAGTCCCGATATCATTGACAAGCTTGAAAGAATATGTTGATAGTAAAAAAGAGTCTCACCAAATTCTTTGACTTCCCTTGCAATGGATTTAAATTCAAGGTCACTGAGGTCTTCCCTAGATTCGAAAATGATCCAAAATAAAAATAATTTCACTTGAAGTCCTTATCAAAGACCTACCTGTATAAATTATTATGTAACTTGGCTGGTCTACCATAAAAATGCAACCACCAATTCTTTGCACAAAGAACTGTCACCATTCACATTTACCTTGTTGACCTTCTTTTAATTTCCACCTGTTTTCTTTTCCCCTACAAGAAAAAAAAAAAAATTAGAAACTGAGCTTGCTAGGAATAATAACATAAAAAAAGACTTAAAACAAAAAAGGGAATTTTCATCCCAAGTAAAAAAGATACCAATGACAAATAAGAGCCTTTTTTTTTCTGCTTTCAGCATAATGCACCCTTTGGCTAGTAATTGCACATCAGAGATTGATCAAAGGATAATAGGATTTGTAAATTGAGCAGCTGGTGTGGGTGGGTAGGGGAAGATTTGTAGGTGTGTTAGGTAATATACTGTCAGGGTGGGGAGGGGGAGTTTTGCAGCTATGTCATGCATTACAGTGTGAGGGTGGGAAAGGGGAGTTCTGTGTGGGTGTGTGTGTGTGTTGTGTTTAGTAATAAAGTGCAGGGGTGAGGGGGTAAGAGCTCTGTAAGTGTGTTATGTAATACAGTGTTGTTGTCACTAAGTAGCAACCTGGATGACTAATGAAATGATCTTTGCAGACATAAACACAGCAAAATTTAAACTGCAGAAAATGAAGCCAAAACCCGAATCTAGACTTTGAAAAGGCTTGAGGCCATTGAAGCCAATAAGCTATAAAGATGTGAACTAGGTACTGTAATGAAGGAGCCATTGACAAATCGAAAGAACCTAGTTAGAAAAAAATCATTTAGAATTTCCTCTGTCAGCTATACTAGCACCATTCCATGACACTTTTTAATTAGTAATTCATGATACTCTTAACACATACTGGTTGTAAAAGTTTCTTCTTTTTTAACTGCTTCCCTGGTTCAACAAACTCAATCTCTTTTGGAGGAGGACGATTGGCCTTCTTTTCAGCCAAGGAACCTTGCAAAGGAAAATATATTCACAAATTTACACTTGGAGCTTAGAGGAATTCCCCCTTAAAAGGGGCCAAGGACTAAATTCAAGCATGGAGACTTTGATCACAACTTTTTATAATCCCTATTAAAAACTGACTTGTGTACAATATAACATAGAAGTTATGGAGTTTCGAGTGAAAAGAGTAAACTGTTGCAGAGATTGTCAAAACTGAAGATGATTTGGGAGTTTTGAGGAATTACCTTCCCTAATTTTTTCTTAGTAGAAATTAACCCTTTTTTTCAGAAGTTTCTACAATAAACATATTTTTTATGATAGTCTTTTCATATGTGATATAGATTCAATTATTTTTCTTTCATCAATCTTTTATCATCATTGTTATGATCAGGCCAAAAGATCCCTTATTGGGGAGTCCTAAAAAGACATAAATTACATATTGTTACATGTGAAATTCTATATAAGCTCATACATTTTTAAAATTTATTTTAATAATTAACTCCTACACGAAGGACAAATATTTCCATTTTGGGAGGCTTGGATTTTGTAAGTTAGAGAGAAGTTTGCATCACTAACTTTAAGTCTTGTGGTGAATAACTGGTGAAAAATATTAAGTATTGTTAAATGAGACCTGAGATCCTACCTAGTGACGTGGAGTTGTATGATTTCTCATGTTTCTGGGTACCAATTCTTTTCCTTTTCAGGGATTTCTTTTGGGAACATTGCCCAGGAATCTATAATTATATCATTATTAATATCAAGTAAAACCAAAAATTGCATCGTTATGATATTTGTACGCTTAAATAGCACAAAGACTGACAATTTGAATTACAAGCAATGTTTTTTCTTTTGTAACAAAACTGTGCAAGTACAGGGCTGGATGGCTCTTTCTGGACAAGCTTACATCAACCCCAGCTGGTCCTACATGCTTTAGCTTTCGGCACGACAAAACAAGCCATATGATAAATGCATGATGCTTTCCCGACTTCAGTACTATTAACCACAAACATAAGAGATTTTGGGTAAGTTACTGACTGAGATGAACAAATTGAGATGCCTCAAGTTTTCAGTCTGGTTCCTGAGCTCAAGTTTTCATATGCCAAATTTGCCTGAGCAACAACTAACATTAAATAATCAAGCCAGCTCACTTTCCTCTATGTAAAACACCAAATCCAAAACTTGAGAAAATTAGTACAAAGAAATGAAAGCTTATGGTCTTCAGATTGTGGAATTACACCAGTCCATGAAGTATAGGAAGAAGCTCCTAAAAAAATTGCTCTGCGAGCAACAGCACCTTCTCTGGTGAAATTGACGACTCCATAGCTTGCCACAAGCTGACCTCAAAATTCTATACGACCATGTGAACATGATCTAGGATTGCTGCTTAACCACTAAGTATAAAGCTTTTGTTGAACCAACCTGTTCCATAATCCAGATATATCCTATTTCCTTGAACTTCCAATCTGAATCTTTGCCAAGCATTCAATTACCTGATAAAAAAACCACTGTTAATAATTATTAGCCAACGGACTTATTTTGATTAAACTGATTGACTACCCCTAACTATATCACTGGCAGTGTCCACGGGTAAAATAAAGCAAATCCTACTTTCAGATTGGCAAAATGAGTAGGTAAGATGGGCTTGTGATTTCCCAATTTGATCCTGGCGAGAAATTGCACTTACAGACAATTACAAAGTTTGAAATTTTTGGACAATGACAACACCAAGAAAACCAACCAATTTCATGCCTTCAATGTGCTAAGAACACAGTAACCTGTTCACTTTCTTTCTCAGCACTTAAGAAATAGACTTGTCAGTTGTTTTTATTAAAGCAAAATCTTTTCGCTATAAGGTAAATCCCTTATTGACCATGCTTGTTCAGTCATAATGGCCGGATGTTAGCCTTACTCTTCTTGTGCATTTTTTATGGACCTCACTTTTTTGTAATTGATAAAGTCTGTCTCCATCCAGAAGAGTGAAACCCTTTTGCTGTAAAATAAATCCTTTATTGACCATTACTGATCGAGCTTGCTCAGCCATCGTAGCGAGATACAGCCTTCTTCTTTTCAGAATTTCTATGGACTTTGAACTCAATATCCAGCCGTCTCGACAAACACGTGTTGACCACCCATGGTTACAGAATTTATTCATGGTTACTCATTTTTCAAATGTTTGCAAAGCATCATCCTGCCCACAAAAATGGCAAATTTGATGCCCTTCTTTGTCAGAAGTTCTGGTTCTTCTGAGTGGTCTACTTGCAACTCACTGATCTTGTTATAAGCTTTGGCACAAGCAGGACTGATAGGTAAGTGCAATTCTTCTACCTTGTTAAGGTTTTTTGTTTGATGAGACATAATGATCGCAAAATGGCACATTTTCTAATTTATTTAAAATCAAGGAGAAAATCAGGCTTCATGCATACAGAGCACTATGCCATTGATCTCTTTTAAAATATTTATCTGTGTTTATCATCGTTAGAGTGTATGGTTGAAGTGATATATGTTTGTTACACCCTTTTGATCCGAAATTACACAGGTATTCGCCTAAATTTATAGAGATTTGTCGTATTGTTATTTCAGATGACGGTCACGTCTTAGCTTGGTCGAGTCTTTGGTCGAGTCTTCGTTGTATCTTTGTCGAATTTAGGTACAGTTTTAGTTGTTGTTGTTCTCCAGTTTCCGTTAACCGCCCCTCTGGTTTACGTGATTTTCCCCTGATCGATCGTTGCGCAACGTCTATATTATAAATAGTATTTTAACACAACTCGTTCCGCTGGTGTTAAAATATTGAAAGCATACGAACCCTTGTGAGACGACGCGAATGTGCTTTTGCAATGGCTCTCCGAAAAATTAAAAAGCAACGAGGATGAGGACGATTTAAGTTTGATCAGCCACGACGATGTCTAAAAAAAGAGTCAATAATAATGCACTTTGCGAAAGAAAAGCGATCATGTGTGTTGTGATGACGGCTCTGACATAACAGGCTTCCCTGTCTCCTTTTGCAGCTTGCTAAATCGCGATTTTTAATAGCCCTATCTTAAACCACAATTAATCGGACTTAACGACTGGCGGCCACAGCTGGTGACACGCGGAAAGCAATGACTCACTTCGAATTGCCTTTCGTCACTTCTAGCGTTACCAATCATCGGTCGAACTCGCTCAACACCCAAGCTGGAAAGAGTCTAGTCTTCAAGATACGTTATGAAACGCGACTTGTAGTTTGATGATTAAAGTTTAGCGACAGAGATTTTCATAATCCTAGATCGGAAAAAATAAAGGGAACGAATAGAATTCTTCGTTAAAACCAAAGACTTTTTGTTGGTAGTTACCTCACCTCCAAATCCCGTGAATCGACGAGACATTCATTCACCGCCGCCATCATGGATGGGAAGTAAGGAACCTGGGGCTCGTTTCTCAAAAGTCCTGCTGGTAACTTAACGGGCCCAAAACGGGCCCATAAAGCTGTTCTGTTTTCATTCAAGATGGGATTTCAAAACTTTTGAAAATGATACAATAAAACTATCAGCTAAAGAAACAAAAAGGATTGGTTTGGGTGCCAGAACCTGCTTTCCTATCAAATTTTGATTTTAAAAGATGGCTTCGGGTCCGTTAAATCACCGGGACTTTCGAGAAACGGGCCCCTTGCGGGGTGTGAACAAAACCTGGCCTAAGCCATGGCCTACCCCAGCCCTGTGGCCTACCCGGTATACCCTATGGCCTACCCTATGGCCTACCGGTGGTCAGATTTTTAAAAGCATAGCATTGCTACAAACCTTTCGACGTTGTCCTGGGGACTATCTTACCAACGACTTTCTTCTGCTGTTCTTGCGGACAAATAAATATCCGATAAATATCAGTTGTATTGTATATCTGACAGTGGACTGGGCTCCACTTTCTGTCAGAAAGCTCAGGATGTCTGGGGAGTGTCAGAAAGCTTACAGGATGTCTGGGGAGGATTCGGACGCGAGGTCTGTAAAGTAATAAATATTTTCATTTTAAGAAGTGCCAAATAATCTAGTCTGGCAAATCCGGCAGTATTCTACGGTGGCCCATAGGGGACATGACACATTTTTTTTATCGCGCGATAAATAGAAATTATCGCGCGATAAATGAAAAATTATCGCGCGATAAATGAAGATTATCGCGCGACAAATGGAAATTATCGCGCGATAAATGGAAATTATTATTTATTAATATTTTGTGATAACTTTTTGATGACTGCATGACTTACACTGTTGTGTTACACTAAAACCTTGAAACAAACTTTCATCAGTTTGCTCATCTTGCAGTCTATACTATATGCCCTCTAAATTTATTTGTCATTGCTCAAATATTCTGGAAGTTACGGAGGTGAAGGGGGCGGAATTCGCTTCCCTCCCCGGTCTGAAAAGATTGAAAATAGCTCGGGCCGAATAGGGTCAAATTACTTCGTGCACACGAGTAGTTACACGGTGCTAATAGGCTTTTAAAGTATCCTCTATTTCGCACAGAAAGGTAAACACAGTAACTTTGACACATATGTCACCAGAACTGTCGGTCCTCTTTTGCCAGAAAGGCCTCGNGTATCTAATACCGCAGTTCAAAATATATGAACTTCATATATTTCATTGTATCTGATTTATCACTTTCACGGGTTTATTACGAATCAACTTAACGGCCTGCTCCCAGTTGGCTTGTTAGCTCAATTGGTAGAGCGCTGCACTAGTATCGCAGAGGTCAGTGGTTCGAATCCCGTACAGGCCTGATTTTTTTCAGGTCTGATTTTCGCTATTGCTTAAATAGCGCTATCTACTGCGAGGATCGTGCATCATACGTATCTAATACCGCAGTTCAAAATATATGAACTTCATATATTTCATTGTATCTGATTTATCACTTTCACGGGTTTATTACGAATCAACTTAACGGCCTGCTCCCAGTTGGCTTGTTAGCTCAATTGGTAGAGCGCTGCACTAGTATCGCAGAGGTCAGTGGTTCGAATCCCGTACAGGCCTGATTTTTTTCAGGTCTGATTTTCGCTATTGCTTAAATAGCGCTATCTACTGCGAGGATCGTGCATCATACGTAAAGCCACCTATGTTACGTTATTCTAGAAGATAACAGCTAAGATGCCCGGATTGAAAGTCTTTCTACAAGCATATTGCAGTGATGTAGAAAAGCCACTACGCCAAGCTTTGGCGCAAGAGTTCGAAAGGTCTGTTGTCTTTCTTTGTAAGAACCACGTCAAGCAAAACATTCAAGATAAATGTTTCAAATTACAGGTTTCCCAGGTAGTCACCAACCTCATTGTTAATGACATCTTTGGCTCTGAAGGCCTTGTGAACGCTTCCAACGAACGTCTCTACATAAGCAAACTGGATGAACTGAAACAGAAGTGGGACGACTTAGAACTGGCATATACGAGAAGAGAGCCGCGATTTTCATCATATTTTCTCAAGCGCAAAGCAGACGAAATTTGGAACCACGTGAGTGCGAAAGTGTCAAATGATGCAGGATTTGGCGACGAGGTGCAGTGTAAAAATTGTCTCCGAATCTGGCAATGCAGTAATAAAGCGCTGGCAAAATTTTGAATCAAAGGACATGAGTACTTTTGTCGACGATGTTAAGGAGTTGGTTGCCAAACAACGAAGTGACGTACAGAGAGCTTTCGTGGGCCTCCATCACTGTCCTTACATCGTGCGACCAGAATTTCAAGATCACGTGCAATCATGCGAGGTCCTGGATACCACTTCAGAGGAGCGTGGAAACATCATCAATTCAGTGAAGGTTGTTGTTGACCCAGTGAGGTATAATCAGGTGATTAACTATCACACAACCCCAATGTTGCCCCTTGGTGTATTCGCGGAAGGAGAAGAAACTGGTGAAGAAAGTGAAGGAGACAGTCTCCCATGTATGATGCAAACTACCCCCTCAAGTTGTCGAGACGAGGAAGGACAGGTATTGAAACCCATGCCGTGAAAACAGCCAGAAAAAAAGGCAGATGGATTTTCCGGAACAGATTGCGTTGAGAATCTCCTTGATACTTTCACTGGGAAAGATATCAAAGCACTTGCAGACAAGGCAAGCAAGCTTCAAAGTGATGATGCAATTCGGAAAGGTTTTGACGATGACACATACTTTGTCAAGAGTACTTCTACATCTCAGCCACATGTTGTCAAAAGGGTGCCAGGATCTCGAGATGGTGCTGGTTACTCATGCGACAAAGAGTGCCTTGGATTTGTTTCGCGTAAAACATGTGCACACACCGTAGCTGTGGCTCATTACAGCAGCAACTTAAAGCAATTTGCTTCTTGGTTCAAGAGCACAAGACGTAATCAAGACAATCTCACGGCGTTGACAACATTTTCCGTTAACAAAGCAGCAGGAAAGAAGAATCCCAATCATCAGACCAGACAACGCAAGAAGTCGCCTGATGNAATCGCAGCCGCCCATGACCTCGACATTGAATGGATCATCATTAAGGGCGTTTCAGACTACGCAGATGGAAAAAAATCCCAAACTGACTCTTGGAGACCATTTGCCAGTATCATGGCAGCCTCTGTCGTTGCACATACTCTGAAGGATGTCCATGTTTTTAAGTCCTGGCGTAACTATTAAGGTGAGTGTACAGTTATAATTGGATGACACAGTAAAGGGAAAGGGAAAGTCCGTGACCAAACTCTATGGATGTTTGTATTGAGACTTTACATGCCAAAACAGGGGATAGCGTTGAAGGTGCGCTCTGATTGGCAACTGAACCTCCGAATATCCTTTGCTATTCACCTCCGAGCAACGCGCGTGGAATTTGCGCCCGAAATTGTTGAAATCGTTGGAGGAATAAAGGAGTTTTTTTGTGCTATATTATCTCACTGTTTTAGGATATACTAGAAAAACTAATCAGTTATTAGGTTTGTGGAAAATCCACGCGCAAGTTATTATCACCATGACAAGGTTCTGCTGTTTAAAATCTTTTAAAACTATGCAGCCTTTCTAGCTATGACTTTGGTAGTATTGGAGGTTACTATGGCAATCGATCCTCATCACCAAACTTCCCCATAGGCGTGAACAAACATTTACCCAGATCCACAAATAGCAAATAGAACTTTCTTCTGGGCCTCCTTTATATAATTTTATAGCCCTTTTCGGAAGCCTACAACCTCCAGAATTTTAGCCAGTTGTTTGTGCTTTGTTAGATATATCTTTTTGCTTTAGCATTCCACCTAAAACTCGGTATCAAAACGTTGTTACTTTCTCTTAACCGGTCGCCATTTTGTTGTGTCCGTGACGTAACTGTCGATCGATTTAATGTCAACGTTCTGCACTCAATTTTGACTTTTTGCACTCAATTTCAACTATTGACACTGTTTGGGATAAACTGATGTGTTCTCGGCCAATGAGCATGCTAACATTTTTGTACACATCCTGGGTCTGAAATCAAACACGGGATTTCAAAATTAAGCGAGAGCGCAGCGCAAGTTTGATCATGCAAATCACAAGTATGATTTCAGACCAAAACTGCACGAGGAGAAGTTCAATTACCACTTTACTACATCCATTTTAAATTGCAATTTCAGACCAAAACTGCACGAGAAGTTCAATTACCACTT